TTGTTTTATACTAACCAGTTGATCTCTCAAAGGGATGACTTTTTCCGTATTCTGTGTACTCTTGAGCATGTTGTCTTTTTAAAAAAACAAAAAGATGAACAAAAATTATTTTTAAAAATGTAAATATTTATTACCATCAAACTTGGAAAATGGAAAGTATTTTATTGTCATGATTGAATTTAGACTGTTACCTGTATTTTGTTCAGGGTTGAAACACATAAATGACCCTACCTGTGGTAGAAAGGAATATAGACTCTTGCCTCATCTGTATTCCCAAGTATATTATAAATATTCGTTAAGCCTGCTTTGCAAAATAAGGGAAAAGACTGGTAGTTATGCTTGACAAGCAGTTTTCATTTATTTTTTTATAGGGTGAAATTCCTCTGATCAGGTTCCTGTGATCAGGTTCATTAGTTGAAGCTAAGTTCTTTTTGCTATGAATATTTGATTTGTTTTCCAGTTGGATTTGAAATCCATATGATTTTGACTGAAAAGTTAAATTAAAAATTAAAGTCAAAAATTAAAAAATTGAGGTCAAAAATTCAAGGGATAAAATGTATATGTCAATTTTATATGATGGTGTTAAAATAATTCGATAAACTGGTACCCTCACTTTAGCTAACCAGATGTTAAAAGACAAGCTGAGCTGTATCACACTGAGTTAAGGCAGTGATTTCCAGCTTCAGTAGGTCATGGGTCAAGCTAAGGCATCCATTAGTAATTCTCTTTTTCTCACTCACAGCTAAATTTGGGAAACGCCAGGTTGGGGGATGGCTGTAGTGGTTTTGGGATCAAGAGTTGTAAATTTGAGTTATGGTGCTAAGCCAGGGGTACTTTGGGTTGAAATGATCTTAGCTATCAAGGATTGACTCACTTCCATTGTCAAAGGAGGGATGAGATGCTCACCCTCTGCTCAGTTTGTTTCATAAGGACCTAAGTACAAGTATAATTTGTTTCAAAATTTATAGAGGGCCTATGACTTAAGAGTGAAAAATGGTATTTTTTTGTGGAGTCAAAAAGGGCCCATCACAGATTTAAAAAAAAATTATTTCATGGAAAAATGTAAAAGAATGTCATAACAGAATAATAGGAAAGAACAATGTTAATACGTTGCTTATTTAAGGTAGTTGCTCAGTATAGGATATGGGCGTAAAAAATTCTGCAATTGATATTAGCCCAAATCTTCCTTTTTCAATGAACCTATCTTCCTTTTCCCTTTCCTCTTTCTCCCATCTGACTTCCTTTTTCTTTTTGAACAACTTCTTCCCATTTCATAATATATATTGTACATTTTAGACTTATTTTACTCTTTCAGTTTCTTATACCAGGCAGACAAAATGATGTTTACACATGCGTTTGATTTATTTCATTTATGAGTATGGTCTCAAGTTGCATCCATTTACTTATAGCACTCTCAAGTTTATCTTTCTGTGTAGCGAAGTAGTACTTCATTGTATAAAAATACCACATCTTTTTTTTATCCACTCCTCGGTTGATGGGTATTTGGGTTGTTTCCAACATTTAGCTGTGACGAATAGTGCTGCTATAAACATGGGTGCACATATATCACTGTGGGTTAAAGTTTTTAATTCTTGTGGAAAGATAGCCAAAAGGGGTTGAATGGGACCTCTAATCCTAGCTTTTTGAGGAATTGTCATACTGATTTCTACTGTGTTTGTACCAGTCTATACTCCCACCAACAGTGGAGGCGGGTCCTTCCCCCCATTGCCCCTCCAGCATTTGTTGTTTGTTGATTCCTTGATGATAGGCATTCTTTTTGGAGTGAGGTGGAATCTCAGTGTTGTTCTAATTTCTCAAATAACCATTAAGGTGAACACTTTTAATGTATTTATTTACCATTTATTTGTATTTCTTCATCTGAGAAGTGCATATTTGCCTCAGATGCCTTTAATTTAAATTAAATTTATGGGGTCTGATGCTTTTTAATTCTTTATGTGTTTTAGATAGAAATCCTTTATCTGAGGGACAATTGGCTGAAATTTTTTCTCACTCTGTGGGTTGTCTTTTCATTCTGTTAGTAGTTTCTTTTGATGTGTAAAAAAGCTTTTTAAGTTCCCCCAATACAGTTGTCTTGATTACTTTTTTGTCATTGCTGAGACAAAATACCCAACACCCAAAGAAAGAAAAGGTTTATTTCCACAGTTTTGTGGAGGACTCCATCCATATTCAGCTGGCTCTACTGCAGGGTGTCATGGCACAGGCTCAACACTTCAAGGCAGTAGTAGACTGCAAAAACAAGAGCAAAGGGAGGGGAGCAAGCGTCTTTTCCTCCCTTATATTGTAAGCAGGCTGCCTGCCCTTGATTGGGTGAAGCACTTATTATCTCTGTGCCTTCTTGCACAAGTTCAGGATGTTTACAAAGTGAGGACCCTAGCCCCTGAGGAGTCACTTAAGCTTCTAAACTTCTCACTTCTCAGGTGGACACATATCAACCATTGTGAATCATGTTATTGTCTATTTGATTTCTCATGTCTGTTAATATTTATTTTATATAGTTGAGTTGCTCCCGTATTTGGTGCTTAACATGATTGTTACCACTTTCTCTTGGGGTTTCCCCTAACAAGTATATAGAAACCTTCTTTATCTCTTTTATTCCTTCTTGGTTTGAAGTTAACATTGTGTGCAAACGTAATAGCTACACCTGTTTTTTTTTTTTCCCTGAGTTCCTATTTCATGGAGTATTGTTTTCCATCCTTTGATTTTTCAGCCTATGAATTTCTTTTTGAATTAAATGTGTTTCTTGTATACAGCATATTGTTGGATTTTGTTTCTTGACCCATTCTCTCAGTCTGTTTCTTTTGATTGCTAAATTGAGGAA